GGACTGCGTTTCTTGAGCTTTCTCTAGCAGGTAGACTCGTTCTTGCAGGAAGAGACACACTCTGCCACTCCGTGTCCCAACCAGTCTTCCAAGTCCCCTCTGCCCTGGCGGCCAAAGAATCAGAATTACCGACTGAGCTGGGAGCTGGGTGCAGCCGAGTGACTAAGGTGGCCTGAGGGCCACCTCCTCCTGGCATGAGGAATTCTCTAGGGTGCGATGTCTCTGTGGCCCTCTCCAGCCACAGAACATCATCCTTTCCACAGTGGCTCCTCAAAAATGCTGGAGCCAGCACCATGAAACCTCTCCAAGAGTCTGAGCAACAAGCATTAGCAAAGGGAAACTGAAGCCATCACTCTCCATGGCCAACCAAGGTGGGGGTTGGGGAGAAGAGAAATACTTCCTGAAATTCCTGCCTGGAGAGATCATTTCCTGATCTGGAGGTAAAATGACAAGATTTTGTCATTCCTGCAGCGTTTGAAGGATTCAAAGGCCAATCAGAAGGCAGTCCTATCATTTCTAAGTCTGGATTCCATCTATGCTGATGAATGTGAGCTCTAATCTGATGGTCTGCTGTCTCACTGTTTCATTTTGATGCCTCTACCCGGAGGAGGAGGGGTGAGGCCAGGCGACCCACAAGGAGTCAGACCACAGGCGGTGTGGAAGGCCACAGAGGCACCTCCGTTTGCTGGGCGTGTGAATGTCTGGGAGCGCTCTTGATTCCCTGTAACACAACATCCCTCTCTCCCTTCTCCAAAGTGTGCCAAGTACTTTCAAAATGCACACTTCCCTCCTCAGGCTGATGCTTAGAGTGGAGAAGAGGGAAGTAAAATGAAAAACTCAAGGAGCCAGGCTCTGCTCTTGCCAGGTTTTTTTCTGGCTTTCAGTGTTTCTCTTCAGAGCAGGAGCTCGTCCAGGAAACCTCCCCTCAGAGCCACCAAGCACCCCCCCCCCCCTGCAGAGGCCAGCAAAGGGCTGGAGGGCTGAGGCTGGGGGGTGTCATTCCCTCCTGGGGGACCAGGTCAGCATCCCCTCCTTCTCGCAGGAGCCCCATGCCTTTCTGCCTCATAGGAACCGATTAAATAGTCTGGAGTGCCCTCTCCTTTCCAGATGATTTCTCCATGCAGGCTGTGCTGTTGTCGAACTTGCCTTCCCAGCAAGATCCCAAACCTTCCCCAGTTCTATCAAACGACATCGAGAGCTACATATTGTGGGCGCAGAGAGTGAGGAGGGAGAAGACACTCAGAAAACTCATTGCTTGCTCAAAGCCCAGCGGTGATCCTGGCGTGGAGCGAGGCGGAATTCACCACAGTCCTTCGGAGTCTCAGGGCAGACTCCTCTGGCTCTGAACGCCTCTTCTCCAATCCACTTTGCTTTGAAATCCAGTCCCCGGGTGATCTGACTCACCCCATTCTTCTCTTCTCTGAACTGCAGGTCCCCAGGACAGGCGGAAACACCTGAGTTCCGATACCGGCCTCGGTGGCTGTAGGTTGCCTTGTAATTCCCGAGCCTTTGTTTCCTCATCAAAAATGGAGGGGGTTGGACTAGATCAGGAAAGGGAAATGTTTTCTCTCACATGGCAACTCGAACCAAGAGGTGGCTTCCTGGGAAGCCAGTGGGGATGTGTCTGTTCTGAAGGCCACATATGAGATCAGTATGGAAGAGTCATGTGATTGATTAGCAATGTCTGCCGCTGATGTGGGAATGGGTGTGTTCTAATATACCCCAAGGATTTGCCATCCTTGAACCCTTTGCTCTCAGCTGTCCTTCCAGATCTGACATTTGATGACTCTTCACGTCGTTCACTCACACACACTAACACCTTTGTCACTCAGCACTTAGTTATATATCACTTCGTGCTTTCTTCTCATTGCCACATGTGTATGCATCTTGCTGCCCTAATGGGACTATGGGTTCTTGGAAGGGGGCAAGGGGCATGTCTAGAATGCCCCGTACAGAACTGAATCCACAGAGGTGCTGCTCAAAAAGGTATCAACATGCTGATGGGCTGATATATTGGAGAAGACACGGATCCTTTCAAGATGCTAGCAAATAAGAGAGAGCTAGCAATTCTCTGAAACTACCGGGACTCAGTCCCCTCCAGGTGGCTGAAACACTGATATGGCTTCACCCTGGGGAGGGGAAGAGGAGGAAGAGGTGGAGAAGAAGAAAGGAAGAGAAGGAGGTGGGGGGGGTGGGAAGAGGAGAGAAGGAGAGAGGAAGGAGGAGAGTGACCCTTGCTCCACTATTTGGTGTGTTAAAAGCACACCGTCAGCAATGAGCAGATAGAAGGGCCTGATTGGATTCATATTGCAAGAGGCCCTTCCCTTGTATTTCTCACCAGCGTTTAGAAATGATCGCAAGCCATGCCTCATTGTAACATCCTTCACAAGTGTACCAGAGCAGCTCTTTCCCTTACATTAAACTGTATCAGATCTGGGGAATCCCCACCGTTTTTTTTGTTTTTTTTTGTTTTTTTTTCCTGTCCTCTCACTTTGTGTCTATGTGGGGGCCAGATACTAGAACCAACACGGCCATGGCATAAAATCCATTTAGCTGGGTCCCTGAAAGCTAATTTTACCATTCAATATTTGCTTTGTACTAATTGAATTCTCTATTTCAATTGACTGCTCTAATCAGAAAAGTGCAATGATACAGAGAGAATGCATTCCTATTTATTTACATGCAGGGGTGTTATTAATGCACTGCTGATACCAGACCCAAACACAGATATTTTAAATAGAACATACTCCCGAATCCTACTGAAACATTGTAGCTCAGGCCTTCAGGCAGCAAAAAAGAGGAAAGAAAGAATTGTTAGTGCATAATACAGCCATTCTAACCCAGACCAAACATCACCAGAGAGAGAGAGAGAGAGAGAGAGAGAGAGAGAGAGAGAGAGAATTCTCGGCATTCCTTTACTTATTCAACTTCCATCTTTTTACATAAATCGTAGAAATAAAACATTGTGAAATTTCACTAAATCACTTGGAGAAAAAAAAAAAGTCAAAACTCCAGTACAGGCACAGAAATAGCAATCTGACTGCACAAAATAAACGATAAATTTGCCTGTGTTGAAATTCAATGCAATGAAAGAAAGGCCTTCAGAGAAGATAAGGTTTTAACTGCATCAAAAGGTTCTTGTGCAAAATGGATCATTCAAATCCCCAGAATGGCACTTGCCACTAATTAGTTCTGTTAGGTCTTTTGACATCAAGTTCAAGGAATCTCTGCTAAAAATTCCAATTTATGAAACGCACTTGCAGACAAACTAAGGCAGCTATTCAGGTTTACATTAGGAAAACGTGTTGTCCACGTCCCTATGGCAATTTTCATTTCTCACACGTTACCGGGAAGCAACTGATATGATTCAAGGGTACAGGAGGCTGGTTCGTGCAGAAAGGTTAAGTAACTAAAAATATGTGTACAATGTTGCTTCTAGGGAAAGAGTGGGTGGTGGAAAATGATAAATACAAGTTTCTGGAGAGTTTAAAGCAAAGGGGAATAGCTGACGGGGGTCTCACGAAGGGGGTATTTTATCAAGACAAAGAGGATAAATATAGCTAATTAAAGTGAGGCATCAGAGTTTCCTCACACAGAGTACAGTTGTGGGAAAAAATCTCCAAAGGAAATTCTGATTTTCTTTTTTTTTTTAATTTTTTTTAATGTTTATTTATTTTTGAGACAGAGAGAGACAGAGTGCAAGTGGGGGAGGGGCAGAGAGAGAGGGAGACACAGAATCCGGAAACAGGCTCCAGGCTCTGAGCTGTCAGCACAGAGCCTGACGCCAGGCTCAAACCCACGGACCGCAAGATCATGACCTGAGCCGAAGTCAGACACTTAACCGACTGAGCCACCCAGGGGCCCCAGGAAATTCTGATTTTCAAGCTGCACAAATAGGATAGGGAAAGAGAAGGGAAGAAGGTGGAACTAACTGTTAGCTCTTATATGCATTTTTAGGAATGATAAATAGAATAAATTTTTGTCAGTTCTTATATTCAGTTTTAGATTGATGATTAAATTGTACAAACCTTTGTACATTCTTATATTCCTTTTAGGGATCATACTTAAAACGAACAAATCTTGGGGCATCTGGGTGGCTCAGGTGGTTAAGCATCCGACTCTTGACTTCCGCTCGGGTCATGACCTCACAGTTCGTGAGATCGAGCGCCATGTCGGGCTCTGCGCTGACAGCGTGGAGCCTGCTTGGGATTCTCTCTCTCCCTCTCTCTCTCTGCCCCTCCTCTGCTTGCTCTCATGTGTGCTCTCTCTCTCTCTCTCAAAATAAATAAACTTAAAAACATAGAATAAAATGAACAAATCTTTATAAGATACCTATGGGTAAAAAAAAAAAAGAAAAGAAACATTATACTACACTCACAAAGGTGAAAAATAAAGCATACACAGACACATACAATGACAATTTCTGAATTTAGGTCAGCGAAACTTGGTAAGTCCATAGATGGGAATCTGTATATTTTTATTGAGTTTTCCTGATTGTTTTCCAAAATTGATGGCTTCTAAGTTTAAAGTGCTTGTAGATTTCTCCACAACGATCTTCAAATAAAAGGACATTTAAAAAGTAGAATCTTGGGGCGCCTGGGTGGCGCAGTCGGTTAAGCGTCCGACTTCAGCCAGGTCACGATCTCGCGGTCCGTGAGTTCGAGCCCCGCGTCGGGCTCTGGGCTGATGGCTCAGAGCCTGGAGCCTGTTTCTGATTCTGTGTCTCCCCCTCTCTCTGCCCCTCCCCTGTTCATGCTCTGTCTCTCTCTGTCCCAAAAATAAATAAACGTTGAAAAAAAATTAAAAAAAATAAAAAAATAAAAAAAAAATAAAAAGTAGAATCTTCCTTGCAAATTATGTGAGGGCTTCCTTAAAAAAAAAGGAGAGAAAAGAATTTTCATGAAGATCTGCTTACCTGGAAGACTCCACAAACCAGAAACTTCCAGAGTTCTTAACTTTTTCTCCAATTCAGCCACCCGATTCCCTAGGATTCTGGAAAATGAGAGAAAATGGCAACAGACAGATTAATGAGTATCTTATCAGCTCTCAGGGCTGTGAGCAAGCTACTTGGGAAAACGCCGTGGTGTCCTGATAGAAAATGTTTTGATATTTAAGGTATAGGCAAAAAAAGTGTGTGTGTGTGCGTGTAAAGAATATATATTATATTCATATACATTCTATTGAAAGTACATACGAAAACATATACAAACGAGTGATTAAAAAAATACTAAAATGTTGCCATGCGAGTCCTCTCCCACGTCGATTATTCCATCATTGCCCAAATATTTTACACAATTTCTATACGGGACTTTCTCACTGCTAGAGATTACAGTTCATTTTGAATACCCTTAGTAGTATCACAGCTGATTCTCTGAGAGTGGATCTGGGTTCTGGAAACAACCAACTCTAACAAATAAGGTGGGTGAACATGCTCGGTAAAGTTGCTTTGAGTCAATAAAACAATAAGATCTGCCTTCTTATACCTAACCTACGTCCTACTGACGTCCCCACCCTTATTACGTAGCGTAATGCCTGGTTGATGGTAGGTGTTCGATAAACATATTTGATTACACAAAATGCCTTCCTTTTTTCAAGGCCTGTAATTATCTGTGGACGGAATTAAGAAATAGGCATTGCAAAAGAACTTCTAGCAATTGCAGAATCACTAGAAGAATTAATTATATTGCTTTCCAAGGTGACCATTCCGGCTCGTTGTGACATATAGGTTCTAGAACGTAGATCTAAAAGATTATGCTGTTTACCTGGAGGCCAAACTTGGTCTACATGCATGGAAAGACATAAATGTGGGCATAGATTTCCCATGTTTCACTCTACGTGACATTAAATATAGTTGCGAAATGATTCCATAGTCATCTAAAACTTCAATCACTTCCCATTGGCCTGGAAATTGAAAAACCAGTCTTTATATTATTTGGGGAATTTTCTTGACCCTGCTGTGCTAACATGATGCGGAAATCACCTTCAAGGTCAAGTTTCGATTCCTTTCAGCAGGAGAAATCAGAATGCCAGAATTGTTCTCCTACCTCTCTTTACATTCCAGAGATAGCTGCACACACCCACATACATACAGAGGCATGAATATGTATATATCTGCACGTATATATATGGCTTTGGATCCGTCTTTATTTTACCTGAATTGACTTGCAGCATCTTAATTAATATTCCCTTTGAGTTCACAGAAAACTCTGACGTTACTAGATGTGGTTTTCTTCATCTAGGTACCTGGAGCTTTTCTTCTTTTCCTTAAGTCTTAAATTCTGCGAGGTCTTTATCAATTACTTTCCATTTTCACCCTATTTGTTGGGTCTATTCTGCTTTCGTGTCACCGACCCTTCAATAAATACCATTCTTCGTAATCTCGCTTTCAATATTTTGCTCAGACCTTCTGATCCAAGCTCCCTTTTCACCAGTTGATGGGTTTGAGATGCAATCACGGCAGAGTTCAAGTTGATGCCTGTTTCTTAACGAGATCAGATCATCTGTGTGTGGCTGCCTCTTGGAAAACAGAAGATAAGGCTTAACTCTTCTGTGTATACTGAAGGATGCCATCAGAACAACGTCTGAAGGCGTGGTGAAGAGACATTTGGTTCTTTTTTTTTTTACTGATGTTCCCGGATAACACAGACCTGTCTCCCAGAAATGGGCTGAGGCGAATTTGCTGGTGTCCCCTACTTTGAGGGACCCTGCTTGTTTGTCAGCAGTGACTGTTCTCTTTGGCCTGACATAGGCATCTGATACAGAGCTGGAGGTAATAAAATGGACCAAGTGGAAACTATACTGGTAGCAATGGTAGCAATAACGTCATCAATAACAATAGCAACCACACCACTGTTAACATGAACAGCAGAACTAATCTTTCCCGAGTCCTGGGTATGAGCCAGAGCCCGTGCTGAACACTCATTGAACTTACGTGATCTCAGCTGACCTGACAAAAACCCTGCGGGGTACACTGTATTATTATCTTCTTTTTACACATGGACCCTAAGGAACTTGCTCAAGGACACGCAGTTTATCTTCAAGGTGTATCTTTTGCCCACCCCCAGCGCTCTCTTCCAGCCCATCCCACTCGATTACTCCCACTGGGAAACAGAGGCGCAGAAGTTAGTTAACGTGCCTGAAAGCACAAGCAAGACTCGGCTGGTGATGAATCCGGATTTGAAGTCACAACTCGGTTTGTTGCCAAAGTGCAGGCTCTTAGCCAACACCTAACAATGGCACTTTAAAACAAGCACTCTTGCGTCAGGAACTAGTACTCTTTAAAAACTGTTCATGGGGCACCTGGGTGGCTCAGTTGGTTAAGCATCTGACTCTTGGTCTCAGCTCAGGTCATGATCTCATGGATGGTGAGATCAAGCCCTGCATCAGGCTCTGTGCTAACAGTGCGGAGCCTGCTTGGGATTCTCCGTCTCCCATTCTCTCTACCCATCCCCCACTCCCTCCCTCTCTCTCGCCCTCTCTCTCAAAAATAAACGGACAGTAAAAAAACAAGTCTTGAACACTGTTCGTAATTGAAATATGGATGCAGCCGGGCTGACCCGAACAATATAACCCAAGATTCCTCAAATGACAAAAAAGGCTTTTCCTTGTTGGCTTCCCATTTAACAAATACGGCAGGGCGTCCACTGAATGTGGTGTGGTGCAGGGAGACAGGCGGCGGTATGCAGAGATGAAGACAGCAAAGTAGGAACAGGGTCCCTTGAATTCAATTAGACCGATTCAACGCACAATTATTGAGGCGGTAGGGGATGATGAAGGGAAGCAGCCTGGGTCCCTGTATTGGAGGGACTAAAAGTCTGGTGGGAGACAGACGTGTCCACACAGAGATACATGCACAGAGCCTGTGGAAGGTCTGAATCACATCTATCAATCACTTATCCTCTTCTAGGTACTCCTCTAAGCACTGCACAGATATTATCTCCCTTAGCCCTTTGCAACAACCAGTGAGGCAGCCCTTAGTAAGTTTAGTTTGTATGTGAGGGAACTGAGATTCAAAGAGGTCAGCTAACTTGTCCAGGGTGACACAGCTGGTAAGTGGAAGGTCCAGAATCAGAACCTGGCCCTGAACGTACACAAGCACTTACGGAGAACTGCAGACAAGAAGTGGAGTCAAGGAAAGATGGATCCAGAGTGGTTTTTAGGGATTCGGCTCATGAATGATCTTGTTGCCATGTTGAGAATGGTGAGACTTTTATACACTGGCAACAGGGAAAGACTGGAAGGTTTTAAGCAGAGAGGCAGCATAATGGCGTTTAGGGAAAGTACTCTTGATGTGGAGTTGAGAATGAACTGCACCAAGTATGAGCAGGAACAGAAAGACCAGTCAGAAGGGTGGTGCCCAAGTCAGCGATGGTGGGGGCCCCAAACAAGCCACTGGGGATGTGGGAAGTCAACCAAAAGGAGTAATAACATGGAGGTGGGTGAGGAATTTGAAGTGCCGACAGGATATCCATGTAGACAGCTGGCCACGTGGGAGAAGGAAAGTCTGGGAGTGCAGAGAGGAGCACGTAGGCTGGGGAGTAGGTCTGCTCACCAGCAGAGTGTGAGAAGCCACAGGAATAGGAGTCTCGAGTGCCTCCCACATGAGGGAAGGAGGGACTCGAGAGGCACAGGTAGACCGGGAAGAGGAGAACCAGGCAAGGTGGGACCTGCAAGCCAAGAGGAGAGAGTGTTCCAGGTGGGACGGTGTGGTCGATATTGCTTCATTCTAGAAAGCGGTCACACTGGCTGAAAAAGTCCACCGAGAACATGTTGCCTGACCCTTGAGAGAGATGTTTTAGGATGGTGGAGAGGGTGAAACCCAGAATCCAAGTGACAGGGTTGAGAGAAGCAGACTAGGAGAGACTTTAGGCGGTGAATACAGATGACTCTTCAAGTAGTTTAGCAGGGAATGGAAGGAGACAGCTAGGGCAGTAGCTCGAGGCATAAACAGGTTTGAGAGAGGTGTTTTTGTTTTTTGGGTTTTTTTTTTTTTTTTTGTAGGATGGGGGAGATTTTAAAATAAGGTTTTTATTTAGCTATGGTTTGTTTTGGGGGGGGATTTCGGCATATGTTTGCCTAGTGGTCTAGGAAATTCCCCAAGATGCCAGGCCTCTAGACAGATTTTCAGTAGTAGTTTCTGATAGTGACAACCTCACAGGAGATCTGCAAAGACAGAACTAACTCAGGAGCTAACCACCACGGTACGTCTGCTCTTGCTCTGCAGACAACACAGGGAGCAGAAATTCCAGAGTGAGGGCCCCTGGGGAGAGCCTGGTCCAAAGAGGAAGAAGGGACTATGGCTCTACACACGCCTGGCAATAACCCTGCCCCCACGTCCACCTCAGGGAGCCTCCTTTTGAATCTCCACTCTGACCCATGAGAGCTCACCCTGCTATCAATATCTTGAACTTCCAAGCTACTTGCCATTGGCCAGGGAAGGGGCGGCGCAGTAAAAACAGTGTGAGCACAGCAGGAAGGGTAGTGAGAGACCAGCGTGTCCTTATTTATTCACCACCACCACCACCACCAGCACCCAACCACCGGCAAAGCGTTGCCTGGAAAACTGAATGTGGCGTTCAGGAAAATAGGACTTCAACACCTGCCCCTTCCACGACTGCTTTGCTACCTGTTGTTAGGTCACATGAACCTCATCCCTTCTTTGGCAAGCGTCAGACAACTGCCAGCTCTTTGGTGATAAGCACCTCAAGCCAAATTGGATTCATCAGTTCTTCAAGATGGCTCCCACTGGGCCTTCTCCAAGTGGGGGGAAACTGTCGGGCAGCGGAAGGCCAGTAGGGGGAGCACACGCTTACAGAACAGAACATTCTCACAATGCTCCACCAACCCAAAACTATTTTATTACTTTAGTCACAAAGGGCCCACTCAACGGGGATAACAGCAAGCAGACCAAGTTCAGATTCTATTCCTAGTTCCCACTCCATTTGTTGTCTAATTAGTTCCTTTACATGCTCCCAAATAAAACATTTATTGAAAGTATGAAACTTAAGACCTTCTAAGTATTAAAAATGGCACATTAGGTACTTTATGTACTGATATGAAGCAATCTTCAAGATCTATTGTTACGGGGGGAAAAAAAGGCAAGGTGCAAAACAGTGAAAAAAATGTTTTTTGGTGAATACTAGCTAC